CTTTCTTTGTGCAAAGCTCCCGCCAGTTTTAAGTGAAGGTCAAACTGAATCTGGGCAGCAGCTAACAGGTCTTCCAAGGAATGATGGTACAAGTGGAGCTCACAGGCAGGGGCTGTACCCATGTTATCATGTCAAGAAGGGTAAACAGGCAGTTTTTAAAAAAAGTAATTATGTAGACAAACCTGTCAGCACAAGCATGGATTACCCATGCATATGCTTGACATCTGCCAGCCTGACAAGATCCAGGCACATATTTCAGATACTTGAAAGAATACAGTCCTGCTGGAGCTGCAGTCTGTCTCCTCTCTGAGACACTAAGTTTTTAGTTGGGGCTTAAGAATGGAAGGAGAGGGGAAGAAAGCATGGTGAACTTCTTTGGATTCTGAGCTTTCTTCTTGTTTATAAGGTAGCGCAAAAGCAGATATTCATGAGTTGAGTGAACATTTTTCTCTAGTGCAAAGTGTATTTTCATGTATTTGTTAAGATTACAGGCCCCCTCTCCTTGTAAATGTGTGATCATGATGGAGAAAACATTTAATTCTTGCCCTGCAATTGATGGCTGTGGGTGTAGTGTGTCCTGAAATGGGTATTTGTTTTTAATTCTCACAGTTGCTCAGTATCTGCATTTCCTAGCATTGTAATGCTCTTAAAACGGTGGGCATGAGATTCATTTCAGCATCTCTGAAACTGGATTAAGTGTGGCCAGGGATATTGTTTGAATTGAAGCTTAGCAAGACAAACAAACGAGGCGTATCTGAAGGCCAAATGTAAACATGATGCTGAGGTTCCTGGTTAGCGCTCGGTGGCTACAAGAAGTTGACAGCTCTTAACATAAAGGTTAAATGTGCATTTGCTGCTCTGTCAGTAAAATTAAGCCTGGTAAAGACTATGTGGCACTCTGGAAGACATGAATTTATCTGTGTGCATAAACAGAATATATACTTCAGTATAAATATGCTCTCAGGACTGTTTAAACTATTAGAAATGTGCTGCGGTCCAATAAGAAAATGCAGATGAAGCCAGCAGATTTTGGAAAGTGCCTGATTGCATTCAGATGGGCTAGAGATCTGACAAGTGTCTGGAAAGCAAAGCACTGGTGTTTGTATTGCTAAATAACAGCAGAGGATGAGAAAGAAAATGATACAGGTACAACGGGGACACAAACTGAAGTAATACATGCTTAACCTTGAAATTTCATCTTTGCCAACTTCTCAGACTGCTTCCCCCAAAGATTGACATGGCTGTGTTTTATGTTATGCTTTTATTTGTCATATTTGTAGTTAGTTACAAGTAAAAATTACTGAAATCCATTGTAGTTAATACAAAATAAAAATATAGCTGCACAAGTTATGCCATGATTTTTCTTACAAACAGTATCTCCTATATGATAACATACACTTAAGAGCTTAACTCTTAATAGTACTTGCCTACACTAAGCCCTTGCTGACTAACTTCCAGTGTGATTTACTGGTTACAGATATTACCCCTGTGGTGGAGTAATACATGTTAATCATTTCAATAATGGTATTTTTGCTGTAGTTTTTATGTCCCCTGTAATCTGTGATTCTAAATGCAAGTTGAAGGAAGCAACCTTTTAGTGCAATGTTAACTTTCAGTAGAATTTTAGCTCTCTCTATATATAATAAAAATAACCCACTGCATAAACAAACAAGGATGTAAGTTAACTGTTGAGGGTACTGTGCTTCCCTTTCCTCCTTTCCCCCTTACCTTTGTTAAGTGACAGGAATGAACATTTGTAGTGAACATGTAACCTCTCATTTTCAATGCATTTTGAAAAATTACAGACTTGTAATTTTGAGAGCAGGTAGGTGGCTTTGATGAAAGTCATCAGGAGAGAATAAAATCCTGTGGCTTTGCAGCCTCATCCTTATGTAAACTTATCCCTACCATGAAGTTCAATCCATAACAGTTATTCCCTTTAGATGTGACTAAAAGATAATTTCACCTTTTTGAAAAAATTGTCCTTACATCCCTGTAATTTTATAACTCTTCTGTGTAAATATAGCTCTATATACGAAAGAATTTTTAAAAAGATAAATTATGCTATTTTCAAAGTACTCTGAGATACAAAGTTGTGCAGGTGCAAAGTTTGATAATATATTGCTATAAAGACTAAGAAATAATTAGTGTTATCTGAGTATATATTATTTAAGCTGGGAGTATAGATCTGATATTGCAGGGTTTTATTTTTGTTTTTTTTTCATTTCATAGCATGTCATACTTTCAGACTATCTCAGTTTTTCAAATTCCTTCAATTTCTGATCCTTTAAAGGTACAGTAGCTGATCACACATTCATGCTTGTCATTTATGTACTTTCGTAACTCTGGTAGATTTAAAAAAAACTTCTTCATTCCCACCTAAACACAGTTGTTTCTTCTAAGAGAATAGCAAGAGACTACTGGCAAAAATCCTTTCCCCACTGAAACGGATGGAACCAACTTTTCAGCTTTGCCCTCCATGTGCTCTGCTCTTCCAGGCTTACAGCATCATGGAGCAAAGCTCCAAAAAACTTCTATGTGTATGCACAGTGACACTGAGGCTGTTAGTATTCCTAGAGCACGGCAAGGAAACCAAAATCAAATGTTCTCATTGGTATTCCTACATGCCCGTACAAAACTACTCACAGTGCTGGGAAATACTGACAAAGAGGAAAATAGAACAGAATTGTTTGGGTTTTGACTACTCCACACATTCCTCTGACCTAACTATAAGAAAGCCAGCTGACCAGCTTGCTTCCACTAGACATATACTTCTCTTGCTAGTCTTTTACCCCAGCTGACAGCCTCACTAAATTAATAAACTCCAGTAAATTGGCCTAAAAGGGAGCGTGTTGCAGCCAGCATTGTTGACCTTGTTCACTCTGCATTACAACATGATGCAATAAATTACCATTGCAGAGAAAAGGATGGAGGAAACTAGTGGCTACTACTGCCTGTGTAGCAGAAACCAGTTCCTTGCCTACATAAAACCATGCGTATCTGGAAGGCAAAGGAAGGCTCGGGCTGATTATGCTGTTTGGTTTATCTGCAGGACAGCTGCTTGGGTTGTTTCTTCGTCAGATTGTTCCCTTTCCCCACCGACTGGGTTGTTTCTTTCATCGTACAGTTTCTGGCTAGAAACTTCTGGAGGCATCCCATACTCTTCATCATCTTCAACGATGGACAGCTCGATGTTGTTGTTCATCATGGAACTCCCTTCCCTTCTGGCTTCCTTCTCTAGAGAATCGGCAACTGCTTTGCCCTCCTCGGTCAGTGAAGTGGTGGGTGTCATATCTGAGTGCATGTCGGTAAATGACACTTCATCCTCATTCTCGGCTTGGTTGTTACTTGTGGTTTCTGTTGTTCTGTCTTCAGCTTCAGCAGGGCTTTCTCCTTCACGAACTTTCTTCACGTTGAAGGTGAGGGGAGAAATTTTGAAAGCTGAACTCTTGGAAGAGGAGGATTTCTGATGATGTACAGTAAGCGATTTCTTGATCTTTTCTCTCCGTTCTGGCGAGACAATCTTGTTCATCTTCTTCTCAATGTTTTGGCGGGAAAATGCTTTCTTGAGGCTGTCAACCTTCTTGAGGCTGGATCTTTTAATTTTCTCAGCTCTTGATTCTTCTGTTTTCTCCTCTGCACTGTCATCCACATCGTCTTCCTCATGAAACATTTCATCATCCGAACACAACTCCACTGTATGCAAGGTTTCTTCCAGTGCTTTGTTCTCATCCACAGGCTCCTCTTTTCCTTCTGTAATGCTGGGAATAGGCTGTTTTGCGAAAACACTGGCAGGGATCTCATTTTCCTCCTGAAAGCATTGACAATATTTGAGTTTTTTAGTTCACAGGACACAAATTTAATAAAGCAGAACCCTGAACAATCACTTCCTCCCCCTCAATGAGATGAAGGATGCTGAACATTTCTTGTTGTTCCCATATATTTAACCAGTAACAAACCACTCAAAGCCCACTGAACCATTATCTGGTACAGTTTAAGACTAATGAGCTGTCAGCTGTAAGAGTTCTCTTTCAGAGTGACTTGAAATGTATACAGAATGGAAATTCTGTTCTTTGTAATTTAAATTAGATACATTCTAATAAGAGTTTAGCTGTGTAGCTGTAAAGCTGTCCACCTCTCCTTGGAGAGAAGAGATGGTATGGTGGCTCAGGAGGTCATAACTCAGACTTCTGCATAGACCTACGGAAGTCACGTAGCCCCCCAGAGCTTTCAGTTTCTCTAGCCAAAGACTGTGAGTATCTCTAGAGAGATGTTGGGTGCATCTGAGAGGTACCTTAGCATTTCAGAGGAATGTCTGCTGCTGTTAAAAATGGCTTGTTGGTACTGAGAAGCCATGCTTCAGTCTATGATGTTTAGAGGATGTGCTATTTCCCAGCTATTTACAGCACAGAAAAAAACAAAATTGATAAATCTGGTTGGTAAATTGGTAAATATAAAGAATACGGACAGACCAACTCCTTGAAATCTAAAGGAAAAAAATGTTACAGCTTACAAAAATAGACATTGCATGACATAGAAAACACTAGTAGCCACTTCTAGGTAAGGGGAAAATGATTGCTTTTGAGAAACAAAACCAAGAAAGGACACAGAAAGAAAGAAGTTATCTGAACACAAAACAGGTTGAAGAGGTGCAGAAGCTGCAACTGGTAATGAAGGAGCCCTGTGACTACCAAGCACAGCAGCTCTGCAAGCCTGAGCAGTTCAGAGGCAGCACAACGAACACACTGTTCTGTGGTAGGTTTTGTAGGTATCTGCCCATGCAAAGAAAACAATGTTCCTCACATGCTGCCTTTTCCTCTCAGAATTATTAGGCCTTAGATCTGCATAGTCTATTCATTACCTTTTTTTATCACTTACAGATAGAGTGCATGTAATATCACTTAGTGTTATGAATTGGAAGGATTTTTTTAACATCCCCCCAGTCTGTTTATCTTTAGATACAAGAAGCAGTAAGTGCTGAGTGAAATGGTTGTAATAGTTTCAGATCTGTCCCTAGTGGGCCTGAGTGTACAGTTAAGGGGGAAAAAGGCCATATGCACTTCCAAGTCCATGCTCATTATTTCAGGACCAAGCATACAATTGTGATCACTGGGGAGAATAGTGTCTCAAGTTGAAATTTTTGTCATAACTGTATAAGGATGTCTTTATGAATAGACCACAGTACTTTGTGCATGGTTGTTTTTAAACATAAAAGTCACCACTGCCTTGTAGTGCCTCTGGAACTCAAGAATATGGATGTGGACAGGCAGAATGATTTTATAGCAAAGATACACAGTATATAATAATATATACTGTGATTCAAGTGTGTTGATGAATATCCCTTAAGGATATAAAAATGGAAAGTATCCAATAAATGGATTTGACTGTATTTGCTTTGCTTCTACGGTTTCCACACACCTTCCAGGACCAGCAGCCTCAGTGGGATATACTGGCACAGACAAAGCTTTCCAAGGCCTTTGCCTGCAGTGGAACATCTAATAAAGCCAGAGTTCCTCTCCCAACACCTATAATGTTATTGCAACTATCAGCAACAGTGACCAAGATAACTAAACAAAGGAAACCTGCACCAGCTTTAAGTGAAAACAGCTGTAACTTCAGTACAAATATTTATATTCTCTCCACTGCAGTTAATGAAATGTGGATTACATGAGTGGGTGCAGTGTTAAATTATTCCCCAGAGCCTAAGAACTCAGTATAAAGTACAATTTACATGTCTCATGCATTCTTTCCAAATGTAGGTAATCACATAGGGTTTTAAACATTTCAACATTCAGGTGTAAGTGCCTGAATGGCATAGAAACCCCTGATTTTAATGAGTAAAGACAGGTTGTAACTTTTGAAGTATTTAGTCTAGGAAAGGTATGTCATACGAGATTGATCACTGAAACAGAGATGGGCCTGTGTAGCTCATCTCAAGGTCAGTTTAGCTCTGTGTCTACAGTATTGATGTTAAACTGAAATACCGCATACAGTGTCTAGAAGAATATGGGCATAGATTTTCTTTCAATTTTTATCAAATTTGTGACTTAGTAGAAGGGAGACTGTCAAACTATCCATATTTATAAAAAAGAAAAAGCAATCAAAAATATACTATATAATAATGAACTAGTGATTCAGTTTAAAGCAGATCCTAGGTGGTCTTTGGCTCTCAGACAGAACTGGCATGCAGGAAATCACTGCTGTGTCTGAGCTTCCTGCATGGCCCTGGAAAACATCAATAGATGCTTCTGGACATCTGTTATTCTGCTTGGAAAATGGGAATTACATACTTTCCTATCTCACATTTTTAAAAGATCTGATGATCAGAGGAACTATTAAAATGCAAATGAAAATAAATTAAGTAAAATGCTTTGGAAATACAAAGGTGGTATAGTAGGAATGCTCTGTGAAGGAACAGACATTTCTGTTTCAAATGCAGTTACTGATAGCATGTTTTAAGTGGGCTATTTCTAACTTTTTGTCTAGGAAGTTTTGTATGACACCTGTATTTTGTTTTGATAAATTTTTCAAGCTGTCTGGTATTTAATTTAGGAACACTAGAACAATACACAGAAAAATGTCAGCTGTTACAAACTGCATAACTATTTTCCATGCCAAAAAAAGTAGAACTTTGATCTTTTTGTCTTGATCTAATATAACATTCTGAGAAAGAAATACATCTTTTTATTTTCCACATCTCAGTTCAAGAACAGCACTTGTATTTTCTCAGATGAGATTGGCTGTAGGTAGCCAGCTCATCTGAATTCTGCTTTTCCATGTAGGAGACCGAATAGAATAGTGCAAGTTGTCTCTGTAAAACAACTTTCGATAAGACTAGTAATGCTTGCAAAGTTAAAATCAATGCCTTTCCTGTGGCTTTCATCAGCCATTCTTCGGAATTTTCTGTAGGTCATAATCTCATCCCTATTTTTACCAGAAAGGAAGAAAAGATCTGTAAGAGTGTACCACAAAACTAGATGGCCTTAATGAACAGGTAGTTAATTTACTCAGGAATGCTGAATCTCTGATGAGGGAAATAAGTGTGCTTTGGTTTGGATTTTTATTAGATGTGTTGTAAGAGGCCATGGCCTTCAAGAGGAGGAGATGGCATTTTTCCATGCTTACTGCAGCCCAGGCTTCTCTGTAGATGCTGTTATATGCCTAAATGGTTACTGGTCTAAAATCTGTTTTGCTACACAAAATAGGTCAAAAGATGACAAATCCTTCTAAAAACAGCAAGAGACTCACCTGCTTTCCCCTTCAGACAAATACATGGTTTTTAGACCTGGATGTCACCCTGGGCAGGGAGGAGGAGGGCAGGGAGCAGGCTGAAACTACAGGAAAGGAAGAGATCTCCACCCACCCATGTGCATGTTTTGGTCCCCTGACCCCCTGCAGCTCAGCTGGAGCCTGTCCTTAAGAGCCATGTGAGGCATTTCTGTCATAAATCAATATAACAGTATTCTCCCTGCAAGGCTCCAGTGGGAAATTTAGTCCTTAGATAATAGCATTATCAGCTTGTAATTCTTCTGTTTTCCTCACTTGTTCATTTCTGGGTTTGAAGTTGCTTTTTCAAAAGATTATTACAGTGACCCAAACAGCAAGATACAACCAAATGGCTAATTTCCTGTGCCCTCCTCTTGCTTCATTTCAGGATGAAGCATTTAATAAGAGCAGCATCTGAAAGGGGTTTGAATATCAGTGTGCTTGACCTCAAGCTGTAATTTTCACTTAATTTCATCTGTCCTATTCACCACTAAACATGGCATTTAATTGAAAAATTAAACATGAGCCTTGCATTTTGCTTTTGCAGCTGAAAAAGCAAACAAAACCCCCACCAAACCCAAACCAAAAAGCTGGTCATGTGGCAAGCACAAAATAGAGGGGAACAATGCCAAAGCTTAACAAGGATTTTTAAAACAGTCACTTCAGTGTTTTGCTAAATTGCTGTGTCACTTGTGGCATTCCTAATAACTTTTGCATCCTCAAATGCTTGGAATAGAGCTTCATTAAAATATGTCAACCATTAAAGAAATATATGCAAACTAGGAACAATGCAAATAGTCTAGGGAGAGAAAACTAAGGGCATTTTAATGGAAAATATGTAAATAACTGAACTTTCCTAGACACAGTTCATTCTCAAGAGTGTATGCTGAGGGAAGGCTGATGCTGGCGAGTGGCAGCACGGTTATCATAAAATGCAGAGCTGGAGTTCAGTCATGTGGCTATGCCTGAGCTCCTACCAAGTGTCAGGGAGTTTGAGGTATACAGTGAATGCAGAACTTAATCACAAATGTGTGTTTTCATCCAGAGCTGTTTTCCTAAGCTGGAAAAGCAGATTCTAATGAGAAACATGCCTTGTGAAGTTTGGGATTGTTTTTTTGCAGTGGAAAAGAAGAATCACCCAACTGAAGAAAAGTCTCATACAGATTTCCTTTTTTTTTTTTTTTTCTCCCCAGCAATCTGGCAACAGTATGGCTTCAGTGCTGCAACTCCTCTTTCCTGCAATTGTTTTTCCATGGATTCCTGCTCAGGCCAGGACAGAAATATAGCCAGCCTTCTGCTTTTCCTCTGCACAATCATCCTAGCAAGGCGGTGAACCCACTGACTAGCAGGTCATCCCACCTCCAGCTTGTAAGGAGACCTCAAGGGAGTTTTCACGGAGGTGGACATGCAGGTAAGGTGCCTGGCCAGGCCAGCAGCAGGCGTATGAGTACCCACCATCCCCTCTGGGTGCCGCTTCCCCAGTGGAAAATCCCAGCTCCTCCCAAGCTCTGCTGGAGGAAGCCCCAGGCGCTGCCTGTCCCTGCCACCCTCCCACGCCCTGAGAAGCTCTGCCGGCCACCCTGGTTTTCCAGACAGCCACTCTACCTTTTAGCAGCAAGCCAATGCAATTCCCAGTTGACAGTTGGTATTTTATTTTACTGATTTTAACTGCAGTGTTTCTTTTTTTTAAGGCTTGTGTTCCTGATCTGCATCAGCTTGTGATCGGTTGAGTTCACCTCCCCTCTGCCATGGCAACATATTTTCCATTGAGAGATGGGAACTCAGTCACCTAAATCCTTGCAAAAGCAATGGAGAAGAGACCTCCTGCCTAAAGGTACCACCCTAGAGACAAAGCAGTTGATTTTCTTTAGCTGTGGTTCTGGGACACTGATCTGTGTTGTTTGCACGTTCGGATGCAGTGTTAACGAAAGGCCCAGATGTTTAAATTGGCCTTAGCTTTGCAGTACTTTTCAGTGTCAGGAAGCAAACAAAGCCAGCTCTTCCCTGTCAGGATGCAGCTTTACGCTTCAAACCCTTCTTGAGTTTTACAATACTTTTACCCAGCGACTGCAAATCCCTGCCACTAGGCAGCAGTAACAGGGATCCCTAGCTGAGCAACCCTAACTGCCTCCACACAGTTGTGGTTTTGTCTGTCCTCTACACACTATGTCATCTTAAAATGCTAAAATTTGAGTTCTCTGGAAGAAGATACTGGAGCTGGAATAGCAAGGCCTTATATGCTCGTGGGTAGCAGAAATCCTAGAAAATTATGTTCCCCTAGGCCATGTTGGTGCACCCTCCTTACAGGAAACATTCAAGGTCTAGGTCTGAACCTGGAGGTGGGAGCCAGTCATTAGCTAACACAACCTGGAAGATGGAAATGTTTTGACTTACAGTAATGGATCTTAAATTACTTGGAGAAGTCCAGATAACGTATGTCTCTTAAGTTACCCAGTCCTTGGAATAGTTTCCACATTCCTTCTAGGGTGGAAACCACGACACTCTGTACATGTCTCAGCTCCTCCTCTTCTGGCTTGACAAGCTTGGACTGTAATTTGGGATAACAATAAGCAGGAAGGTGGGAGTTTCCTTTTGCAGGGAAAGAGCCTACGTGCTAACCAGGCCTGCCAGCTTTTAAAATCAAGGTCTGCTCAGTTGTTTTGGGTTTGTTGAACTAGAAAAAACCAGCCCTAGCAATAGAGTTAATGACTGACAGCTGTGACACACAGCTGACAAAGATTAGTGTGGTGAGCTCCTGATATGCCTTAGCTGTGGCTGCTCCAGCCCCATCTTAGCTCTCCTTCCAACCCCAGCATGTTGTAGAGGTCTGGTTTATTTATTTTTTTAAAAGATGTGAAAGTCATATCCTGTGTTTAGTTAAAGCTCACGCCATGTTCTGTCCAGACCATTGCTTAAAAAGGGGAAAATATGCAAACTGCTGCTATCACTGGATAGGCTCCCAGGAAGCTGAGTTTTTAGCTGAATTTTTAGCTCATCCCTTAATGGGCCAGGACAGGGCAAAGAGGGTTTGGGTCTGAGTGCTACAGGGAGCTGCAGCTCTATGCTTCTCCTGCTTTTGAGGGCAGATGCAAGGACAGTTTTTTCTCAAGTTTGATAGGAGTTTGCTCAGCCTCCTCCCCAGAACAACTTTCCCCACGTATGCTAAGAGTTAGTAAAAGGTGGTTCTTTCCCCAAGTTTGCTAGGAGTGAGCAAAGCAAGGTCTCTTTTCCTCAGGTTTGCTGAGAGTTAGTAAAAAGCAACTCTTTGTCTCAGTTTGCCAGGAGTAAACATGTCTTCTTCACCAAAGTTTGCTGAAGTTAGCAAAAAAAAGTCTCTTTCAATTTCCCTATGGTTAAGAGTTAGCAAAGTGGGCTTTTCCCCCAGGATTGCTAAAAGTGGGTATTTTTCCTCGATTTGCTGCGAATAAAGGAAAGCTCTTTCTTTGAGTTTGCTAAGATTAGAAGGTTTTTCTCTCAAGTTTGCCAAGTTAGCAACAAGACAGCTCTTTTTCCAAGTTTGCAAATAGTTAGTAAAAGCCCAGCTGCTTGCAGTTAGCTGTGAATAGAAAGCAGCTCGTTTTCCCCAGGTGTGGCTGCAGGGCAGAGGGGTGGGGGCGGGTCCTCTCACCTGGAAGATGAGCACCTTGAAGCGGTCCCGCCGGAGCAGCTGAGCATGATGCTGCTCCAGCCGGCGCACACGGGCGCAC